CCTTAGTGTGCTCAAGAGTGGCTCGGGGGTCATGATTCACCTCCCAGCCCCACACATCAGAGTCACACAGGCTGCATTTCTGAGGCCATGGGCCACATTCCCAGCTCTCTGCATGCAAAGCCTCTTGAGACCTAAGAGCCTTTTCTTTGATTGAACTTGAAACAGAGCCGTGTTCTCAAGCCTAAAGGTACCGGTGTGCCTCTGATTTCCCTTGTCCTCCACCTTGGGCCTGCCCCCTGAGGCAGAGAGAGGGAGCCAGGGTAAGGGCTTGGAAGGATAATCCCAGAGCAGGGGTGAGCCCATCTCATAGCATCGCATCTCCTTCTCTGGTGTTTTCCTGAAGGCACAGCATTCAAGGTTGCTGAGCTACCGGAGAGAGGATGCAGGATTTGGGGAGACTGGAGCAGTCCCACTCTCTGCTCAGCTATCTTAATCTCTTTCCCCTCAGAGTTGGCCCTCCGAGCAGAGAGCTGAGGCTTCAATGCTGGCAGGCCATGGTTTGGTGCCCAGTTTTGCTACTCTGTGCTCATCTGCAAAGCTCTCAAACCTCAGATGCTCAGCTCTAAAATGGCCTTTACAGTCCCACAGCTCCAGGCTCTGAGGAACCTCTGGTAGAGATGAACCCCATTGCATTGGGGCAAGATGAGATCCTGGGGAGGAAGAGGGGGCTGTGGGGTTTAGTGGGTGGTGAGGCCACAGCTTCAAGTCTAATAGCAGCCTGTGGCTCTGTGCTCTTCTTAGTTAGACTCCCTTCAGGAGAAAGGGAGGGGGAAGGCGGGAAGTGTCCTTGAGTGGAGGATGAAAAATGTCAGCTTTAGAGAGACAATAAAAGTACTCTTCCCAGGCCCCCGGCTCTGAGAACCTCACCATGCCTCAGTTTACTTATCTGTAGACTGCCCCAGGACTAATCAGCAGAGAATCTGACACCTCCCAAACCCACAGCCCAGTCTAGGCAGAAACAAAGCTTCAAGGCTCAGAGATTCTCAATTGGGGGTGTGGAGCAAGATGTCGACTTGGGGTTAGGCCCCCTCCCCCCACCAGCTGGCCTTCCCCTCCTGTGCAGATCAGGACCAGCTTGTCTGAGAAGCCCGTCAGCACCACCCCCATTGAGCTTCCCTGACCAGCGATTCTGTATTTAATCAAGGGCCAAGTGGTCTGCCTAGGGCTGGAGGCAGCGATAGGGGCTGGGGAGGGAGGGCGGAAGAGGGGAGCTGGGTACTGGAAATGGGCCAGAGACAGCATTTTTTGGATTCTTTCAGAAAACTTTGACCGATAGCCAGGGCATCTCTTTTGCAAGACAGAATCCCCTTGCTTTCCTTTCCTGCCTGGAAGTTACAGAGCCTTTGGTTTGGCCAGAGAGAAGCAGCCTAGTTCCAAGGCAGCCCACATTTTCTCGTGACCCTCATAAAGAGCAGATCCAGTTTCTGATACCTGCATAGCCCCCCCCCCCCGCCCTGCTGTGGTGACAGTTGGGCAGTGTAGTAGGGGGCTGCTGGCTTCACTACTGTGAGTCCAGGGGTCTGAATGCAGCCGCCTGAGAAGAGGAGGGGCAGGGGAGGGAAGCTCAGATAGAGGAGGGGGGCGTGATTCCCAGCCCCCAAGATCTGCATGGCAAACGGCAGACTGTGCCGGCTTCTCCCCAAGGGATTGGATTGGCATTTTCATGCTTTCCGTGCAGCCTCTGAGCCCGTGACAGTCTCCAACCTCCCCTCCCTAGTGCTCCTGTGCTACTCGTTCGTTCTCGGCATCTGCTCATTACACAGAAATCTTCAGCCGGCAGCATTAACAAATGCTTTATTGAGACCAGAGCAAACCCTCATAAAACTCCTTGGCTTGTGTGCCTTAAAAGGGGAAACTCCCCCACCCCAAGCCACCCTGCAGGGACTCCAGAAGAAGACTGTCAGCTCCCCTCAGAGATCCCGCTAGCTCCCTGAGGCTGGACCTTTTAGGCACTGAGTTTTCTGCCTATAAAACTCTGAGGTCTCTTCAGTGACAGGTGTGTGATCTCTGCTAATAGACATGGAAACATGGCTCAGAGAAGGATGGCTGGCTAGAGCCCTCAGCAGGCACGGGAATGAGATCTGGGATTAGAAAGCAGGCTCCCATCAGCCAAGGGAATGCCCTTTAGCTTAAGCCTGTGACATTTAGGTACCTAGGCTGGCCCCGTGACTTGCTTCCCTTTCCAAACTTGGGAGAGCAGGGTGTTGAAGGGGTTAGGAGAAGGAAATGGAGCCTAGGCGAGGTGCTCGCTTGACCACTTTTGGAGTTTCTCATGCTCCATGTACCCCGCTTTCTTTTTGCTGCCTTGAGCGGGAACCCAGGGATCCATCCCTTATCCCAGTGGCCCAGCCCCAAGACCCACCAATCTTCATAATTCTGGTTGAGAGCTCAGCCCTTCCAGGCTGCCTGCTGCACTGCACTGCATGGGATAATTTTGGAGGCTGAGGTCAGGGGATTTGGAAGGGAGAAAGAGACGAAGGAGGGCCAAGGGGACCTCAGTGATCACCAAGGAGGAGACAGTGGCACCTGCCAGCTGCTCTAAGTTTAACCTGGGACTTTTTGGGGGAGAAAAATCCAAACAACAACCTTCCCTAAATAACAAAACAACAACCTCTCCTAAACAACAAAAGCTTGCTTTGCTGGCCTCAGTTTAGTAACTGAAGGCAAGAAGAGCCCAAGTAAGTCAGAGGGTCCACACCACTTTAGGGGTACCTTACCTACTCCCTCTAGCCTGCCTCAGAAGCTATTTTCCCCAGCACTTATTCATGTGAGGTTTCTGCAGAAAGCACAAGAAAACACACACACCAAAGAAACTGGGCAGTGTTCTTTCAGCCCTCCCCCCCCCCCCATGTGCCCATCCCTACCTTTCTTCCCTAGGGGCTTCCTACAGCCTGGCTTCCAATCCCCTAAGATGGCCAAAAGTCTTTGAACTTGTTTGGGCAAGATCAGATGCCCCCCCACCTCAGGCTGAAGATGCCCCCCAGATTCAAAGAGTTAAATTCCCTTGCCTAGCCATTCTCCCTCACTGTGGGGGAAAAGGAAGCCATGGCTGGGGAGACAACAGCTCAAGGCCCCTGAGAGCTAGGTGACAATTAATACATGTGAATTGAGTATGATCCAGGTGATCCATCTAAAAATCCCAAAATCTTTTCTCAGAGCCTAAAAGACTTCCGTTTATTTATTTATTTGTTTATATGTAAAGATGTTCTTATGTGTATAAGCATTTTGACTGCCTGTATGTGTGTACATCACACGTGTGCCCGGTGCTCTTGAAATTAGGTTTACAGCCGATGGTGAGCTGCCACATAGGTGCTGGGAACTGAACCTGGGTCTTCTAGAAGAACAGTAAGTGCCCTTCGCTGCCGAATCATCTATCCAACCTCCACATTAAAAAAAAAAAAAATTTACATTTTATTGTATTTTTAATTTTAAATATTTATTTGGGGTTTTTTTGTTTTTACATTTTATTTTAATTTTTTACATTTATTGTGGGGACAGGGGGGAGAGAGACAGAGAGAGAGACAGAGAGTACATGCCATGAACAGGCCAGACAAGACAACATCTCTCAATCACTCCTCCCAATATGTGAGGTAGGTATAGAGATCAAACTCAAGGTGTTGGCTTGTAGGCAAGAACCCTTACCATTTACGCACTGAACTAGCACAGTGACTCTATTCACATTTAATTTAAGGAGGTGCCTGTGGGAGTCAAAGGACAACCGCAGGAGTCAATGATCAAACACAAGGCTGGCTGGGAGCATCTTTACCCACTGGGCCATCTCCCTGGCCTCCCAGCCACCTCCTTCTCCTTTTGAGCCTCAGAATGGGAGAGCTGAGTAGAAGTCTCTAAGCTCTTGGTGGGGGGGGTGGCAGAAAAGGGGGTTGCCTGTGAACCCCCAAGGACTCTGCAAAAATCATTATTCCCCCCCCCCCACTTTCATTCTCTAAACCATCCCTGGTTGAAAGCCACTAAGCAGGAGTGTGTGTGTGTGTGTGTGTGTGTGTCTGTCTGTCTGTCTGCATTTGACTTAGACCATACTGAGACTGTCAACCCTGTGGTCAGAGATGGGTCGGATTGTGTGTGGTTTGGGGTAACCTCAGACATTTTGGGGGCCTGAGCATAGGCGTTCCTGTCAGCTGTGCAGCTATATGTACTGGAAAGAATCCATGCTTTTATGTCTCAGCACGGTAGATAGGGCCCGGTCTGTGGCGGTGGTACCTGCGAGAAGGGGAGGGGAGGGGGTGACGCATGCTGTCGTCGGTGTTTACCAGTGGTCTCCTGTGTTTACAGGCGGGCTGCGTGGAGGGGCGGCATAGGCAGAGGACGCCCAGGCTCTCAGAGCTGGAGCTTCCGCTGCTTGGAGCAGATCAGACAAGAGTTCCTGCTGCCCTGGTCTGTGACCTGTGCCCCAGGGGCTGGCCCTAAGGAGTGCCACTGTTGAAAGGTGTGTTTGGGTCGGGGGTCCCTGGGGCAAGTGCGTCTGCACCTTCCCACACTGCACAATGGCAAGGCTCGTCGGGGGGCTTCGGCTTTTTGTGGTCGTTTTCGTGTGTGCCTCTATGATCATGTGCGTCTTCCACATCTTCGTGGTGTGCGTTTGGGTCCTCCTGGGCTTTTGACCCGCGCACCATGTGTGCGCGGGACCCCAGCCCTAAGTGTCTAACTGTGTCTGTGAGCGTTTTGTATTCTGAGTGCGTGCAAGGGCTTTCGCCCGCCCGCCCGCCCGGCTTGGTTCCTGCGACTTGAGCTAAGCGGGCCTGTGCGAGCGCCGCCGCCTCCGCCTCCACCGCGTGCTGTCCTGTGTGCGGACCGCGTGCCCATCGTGCGCAGGTACCCGTCTAGCCAAGAGTGCGCCCGCGTGAGCGAGCCGCTTCCGGGCGCCGCGGCGCTGGGGGGCGGCCCCGCCAGGGGGTGGGTCACCGGGACTGGCCGGCGCCTGCCCCGTGCGCGCGAGGCGTGGGCGTGAGCGGGGGCCGCGGGGGGGGGGGGGGGCCGACAGTACGAAAAGGCGGCGCGCGGGCCGCAGCGGCAGCTCCTCGGCGGCCCGCAACTAGCAGCGTGCGCCCCGGTGCAACCCTGGCTTTCTTCCCGCCGGACGCCCTCGCCCCCTTCACCGTCCGCAACCAGAAGCCCAGCGCAGCCCCCGGAGCCCCCTCTGCACCGTCTCCGCTCCCCGGACCGCGTCCCAGGCCGCCCCGAGATGACCGCGACCGGAGCCCTCCTGCGCGTCCTCTTGCTCCTGCTGGCTTTCGGCCACAGCACCTATGGTGAGCCCCCCTGGCGGCCTGGCTCGCGCCCCCTCTGGGGAAGCCTGCGATGCCCCGCTGACCACCCCGCCCGACCACCCCACGCTCCCTGTCCCGTGCGCCCCAAGTCCCGCCCGTCCCGCCTAACCCTAAGCCCCGCACCGTGCCCGCCTCTCCATCCCTGCGCCACCCTTGCGTGCCGAGCCCATTCCCGGGATCCTGGGGTTTGTGGGAGGCGGAGGGTCCCAGTCCCTTCTAGCCTGACAGAAGTGGCGTTCTCGGAGGGGTGTCTTGCGCGGATTGAGGAGGTATGAAAAAACGGGCTGGGAGGTATTCTATTTAAGAAAAAAAAAGGCTCTGAGGTGCAACTTTGGGGGCGTATGTGCTTAGAAACAGGTCTGGGGGCTCTGGGGTGACTTTGCAGGCGTGGTCCCCAGTTTCCAACAGGAGCACAGCTGGAGACCCTGCTGCGTGGTGCGTTTTACCCTAGGTGAGGGGCTGCGACACTTGTGTCTGCAGCGGCCATCTGTCTCAGGGAGCGAGAGAGTTGCCCCCTTCCCGCAGCGACCCCAGCCCCCACTGCGCCAGTGGTTGTGGGAGGGGGCGGGGGGCTGTCTGGAAAGCCCGAGAGCTGGTGGAATAAATGCATACAGTAGGTATCTATTAAAGTGTAAGAATCCCCTTAAGAGCATCGGAATCTCAGAGGCCCTGCAGAGCTGTTGCGTAGTTCTTTTTATGTGCCCGGTGCGGGGGTAAGAGAAAAGGGGAGCGAGAGGGGGAGGTAGGATTTGTCTGTCTGGCTCAACTAGGGTTAATCTTGAGGGGGGAAGTTGCATTACCTGTGAACCAGGCAGGTGGGCTTGTCTGAGTTGTCCCAGAGACCTTAAAATCTCCCCTTACCTCACTTTGCAAAAGGGAGGGCTTGACGGAATGCCCAGGGGTCAAAGGCTACCACTTCGTTGTCTCCCATTCCTACTTTTAGGGGTCTGGGGGCTCCTATTTTCTTTGGGGAGAAAGGTGTCTGCCTTGCACTTGGAGAATCAGGGTTATGCTGTGCTTGTCCCTTGGCTAGGAATACACAGGACAATGGTTTCCTGGGTAGGTTGAGTCACATCCATCCACAGACAAGAAGTGCCTACTGTGTGTCAGGCTAGTAGGACTTAAAAGGGTCTTTGGACCCCCCCTACCCCCACCGAGGGGCAGTGGGCCATTTGAGAGAAAACTGACTTTGTAGTGTCCTCCAGGCCTTATGGGGTGAATTGTGTACCTTTTTTTTTTTTTTTCTTTCTCAGGAGCTGAATGCGACCCACCCTGCGACCCCACATATGGATTCTGCATGGATGACAATGTTTGCAGGTAATGGCGTAGTCAGTTTGGGGCCCATCATGGAGTCCTATGGAGTCTTGGAGCCAGGCTGAAGGGGGGGGGTGCTTTGCCACAAAACTGCGTCACAGCTTCTTGCTTCTGCAGAAAACTGGTGGGGGGGGGGGAGGAGAAGAGAAGGAGGGGGCAGGAGAAGAGGGGGATCAGAAGAATGCTTTGCAGGGTGAGGCCACTGCAAGTCACTGCAGCAAATGAGGTTCCCGTGGGGGTCTGGAAGACCCTCGCATTTCTGCCCCTGAGGACCTTCTCTGAGTTTTCCATTCAGGTGACTGCTGCTTGCTGCCAGGGACCCACTGACCTGGGAGCTACAAAGACCACCATGGGTCCTCCGTTCAGAAGAAGTCACCTTGAGCCCTCTTTGGACCTCTGCCCTCTTCACGTGTCCCCCCTCTCTCCTATTTGTCCACACAGGTGCCAGGCCGGCTGGGAGGGAGCCCTGTGTGACCAGTGCGTGAAGGCCCCCGGCTGCATGAATGGAGTCTGCAAGGAGCCATGGGAGTGCATCTGCAAGGATGGCTGGGATGGAAAATTCTGCGAAATAGGTGGGCACTGACCTTAGCCCGCCCTCCCCTCCCCCACTCCCACCTTATTCCAGAGCCCCTAAGGCTATCTGTAGTATGTGATCTCCTGCTGGGCCTCAAAGGCCTCCTCAAATGTACAGACTGTATTTTGTTCACCTCAACACTGTAGGTTCCCAGATTTGGGGGGGGGTGTTTAGGGGGAGGTACTGGGAAACTGCCTGTTGAATCGAGTCACAAGACAAAATACAGCATGCTCAAGGTGGCTGGACCACAGCCTGGGGCTACTTGCACAGGTTGCTGGAGCTAGGAGATGGGGGAGTTCTGCGTGTGCTGGGGGGGTGATTCTCAGGGCCCACCATCAAGAAAAGGGAGCCAACGACCAGATAGGGGAGGGGCAGCTGGTGCTGAGCAGTGGTAGTGGGCTCAGGGTTGCGGGAAGACAGGGCTGTGGGGGCATCCAGGTGTTGCAGGAGTTTGGTGGTGGGGAGAGGCTGAGAAAGGGTTAAGGTGCAGGTGTGGGGGGGACCCCAGGAACTGTCTCCTCAGCATTGCCAGTGACAAATAGGGAAACTGAGGATCAGAGAGCAAAGGAGCCTCAGTACCCCAAATAGTCTATGGTGCTTTGGTGGGAGGGGGAAGGTTTTTGCTGCAGCTGACTCATGCTCTGGCTACAGCTCTGCAGCCCCCTTGCAGCCGCAGCAACAACAGCAGCAGCAGCTACTGCTGCTCTGAATTTGGGGGTACTAGAAAAACCACTGAGCAGGGTCAGGCTTTTAATCTGGATCACTCCCTTCCAGACAGCTGAACCCAAAAGAAACCGTATTACAGACAGAATTCTTCCTACAGGTCCCTCGGCCTGACTAGCCCCTCGCCGTTAGATTCACAATGGTTGTCTGGATGGAAATGGTGGGGGTCGAGGGTTGTCCCAGGGGGGAAATAGCTCTCCTTCTGCCTGCATGGCCACAGCTGCAATTCAAGCAGAGAGGCGCCCCCTCCCCACCCCTCTGCCCTCTCCTTGCAGCAGCTGATTCACCCCTGTCTTTGGGGCTGGAGGCTCAGGAGAGTTGGTATTTAGGGGGAATGAGCAGGCATAGTCTGGGGATGGTCCACAGATCTTTATCTTGACTCCAAGATTCCGAGTGGCAGAAGAGCAGGGGCAGAGAAGCCTGAGCCAGCTGCAGAGGCTCTTTACACTAACGTTACGCTGGCGCTATCCCCGAAAGATAAATCCTCTTTATGTTTCCTTGCACCACACGGGGCTCCTGCAGAGAGTCCACCAACATGGTGCATAGGCGTTTCCATGTTGATAGACACTGGTCTCCCTTCCCTCAGGGTGCAAGGCTCTTTGAAAAAGGAGAGGGAAATCTCCACGTGTGGCCCTAATACAGGAACGTCTTCCTGGGGGCTGCCCTTACTGGCAGGCTCTCTGGCCAGCCCTGGCCTTTCTACAGCTCAAATTATAGAAAACCCTCAAGGATCAGCAGAGAGAGAGAGAGAGAGAGAGAGAGAGAGAGAGAGCTTTTCCTTTGATATAGAGGGAAACTGAGGCAGAGCTGAGGAAGGAGCTGAATTCTGTGGGGCAGCAGGTTGGAGCTGCCACAAAGGGTCCTTTCTTGGCCCTGCTGGAAAGCTGGGGTCTCCACAGTCAGAGAACCCTTGCCCCGGGCTCCTTTGTTCAGCTCATCCCTAGCTTGCTGAGCCAGGATAATGAAGCCAGCCTGACAGGGGGTGTTAAAACACAGTGGAAAGGCAGCAGTGCTCATGGAAACCCACACGGACAGGAGAGCGTTCAATAGTTCTAATTTTGCTGCCTTCAAAAGATGCAGTCTTTTTTATCCTTGGACCCCCTTAGTTCAGGACCTGAGAACAGAAGGACCACGGGGTGGGGAGGCAGCGCTGGGGCTAAATTAGACTTCTTGTTTCCCCTATAAGGGACTTTGATGGGAAAGTGTGAAGAGCTAGTGGGTTTTTCCCCCTAAATGTCAGGCTGGAGTGGCCCCCAAGGTTGGAGACCCCTTAACGTAAGAAGCTGGCTCCCTGTTTCATGAAGGGAAAAGGCGTCTGTGCTGCTGCATTGCAAGGGCGCCAGGGAAAGAGTGCAGCTGCTTATCTCGCTCTCCCATAGCCTTGGCTTTCTCACTAGTGACCTTACAGTTCAGCTTCCTGACCCTCAGCACTTCAGGACTTTGGGGAAATCCTGCACCCTCTTCCTACAAACCCTACTTGGAAACCACAGGCTGAGCCACTTAGCTGGGAGAAAGCTAAGCACCGGTTTTTTGTTTTGTTTTGTTTTCTGTTTCCCAGACATTCGGGCTTGCACCTCAGCCCCCTGCGCCAACAATGGAACCTGCGTGGACCTCGAGAAAGGCCAGTACGAATGCTCCTGCCTCCCTGGTTTCTCTGGAAAGGACTGTCAGCACAAGGCTGGGCCCTGCGTGATCAATGGGTAAATATTCTGACCTCACTCTGTGAGTCCTGCCAGCTGCCCCCCCACCTTCCCACCCCCCCACCCCAGGAGGACCTGTGGCCTGATGAGTGCTCCAGGCAATCTGAGCCCCCCCCCACCATCCACTTTGATGGGGGTGGGGGTGATTTATGGAGGAATGTGCAATTTCCATAATTTTTTTTTTTTCAAATGGTCCTAAAGGCGATTTCATATTCCCCTGATGTCCTCAAGCCCTGATGCCGGTGAATGACAGCAGATTGAGATGGGGACGGAAGTGCCAAGCTGTGTAATTTTCTAAAGGCAACATAATAAGTGATCAGAGTTCAGCAGGCCAGGCTGTGAAGCCCACTTACCATACTGTAGGGGGCAGTTTAGGGCACTGCAATTGAATTTTCTGGGGTGTCCAAGGAGAGTAGAGGGGGCACTAACATTAGCTAGCCCTAGAGGGGAGGAGCCTCTGCTCCAGATATAGGAATCTGCTGATGGTTGGAACACTCAGGAACACAGGGATCTAAGGATCTGTGCTCAGGAGGGACATCGAAGGCAGTGACCACTGAACTACACTGCTGTTTACTGGCAAGGGGAAAAACACAGAGCAAGACCTTTCAACTCGTTTTGTTCTAACAGACTTGAACTAGTTTGTCAAAAGAGTCCGGGGGCCCTCAGGATGTTTTCAGACCCCAGTCACTCCGCAGCCCTTGGCCTAAAGCGGCAGTGCTTATTCCTGTGTGTGTGGGGCGGGGGGGGGGGGGGGGTGCTTTTCTTTCTTCGGAGTTTTGGCATTTATCAGATGACAAAGGGCTAGCTCATTTAAAAGCACTTACGTTAAACGCTGGTGCTCTGCTTTGAGCAAACAGCTTCAGTTTGCAAGCTGCCCTTGGGTGAATGGACCACTATTAAACAGCTCGCCACAGACACCACTCCCGCCAGCATAGATCCAACCCGTATTCCTTTCACAGAGCGTCCCCAAGGGTTTCCCTCACAATAGCCGGCTGGGCCCACTCCGCTAGAAATAAAAATAAGAAGGGGGGGTTGGGGTGGGGTGGGGGACGAAGACTAGAGCCCCAACCAACAGCAGACCTCTCCTGGAGAGCTCAAGAACAATGCCCCTTACCCTCCTCACCTGAGGATGAGCCCAAATTTACTCCAAACTTGGGCTGTTACTATTGCTGCCTCTCCTAGCCTCAGTTTCCCCTTCTATCCAGTGACTAACAATCTGTGCCCTGGCCTGAGAGACAAAATAAGAGGTGGGGGAGGGCATGGGCGGTCGGTTCTGTTCCAGGTTGTGACAGGGTGAGGTGTCCACCCCTCCCCTGCCTCTCTCTTGGTGAGCATCCAAGTAAGGGGTCCCAGTCGCTTCCTCTCCTGCTGTGTTTCAAGCCCTGTCCTTGTCAGGTTCAGAGAAAGGGGCCTTGCCCCTGCCCCCCCCCCCCCAACGCTCTGCCTAGCCCAGCCGCTGAGGGCCCTTTACCATGCCCTTTGTGTTGCAGTTCCCCCTGCCAGCATGGAGGCGCCTGCGTGGATGATGAGGGTGAGGCCTCCTATGCTTCCTGCCTGTGCCCCCCTGGTTTCTCCGGCAACTTCTGTGAGATCGTGACCAACAGCTGCATCCCGAACCCCTGCGAGAATGATGGCGTCTGCACCGACATCGGGGGCGACTTCCGTTGCCGCTGCCCAACTGGATTCATCGACAAGACCTGCAGCCGCCCGGTGAATGCCTGTGCCAGCAGCCCATGCCTGAATGGGGGCACCTGCGTCCAGAGCGCCCAGGTGAGCTTCGAGTGTCTGTGCAAGCCCCCATTCATGGGTAACAGGTGCGCAAAGAAGCGGGGGGCCAGCCCTGTGCAGGTCACCCACCTGCCCAGTGGCTACGGGCTCACCTACCGCCTGACCCCCGGGGTGCACGAGCTGCCAGTTAAGCAGCCCGAGCAACACATCCTGAAGGTGTCCATGAAAGAGCTCAACAAGAGTACCCCTCTCCTCACCGAGGGCCAGGCCATCTGCTTCACCATCCTGGGCGTGCTCACCAGCCTGGTGGTGCTGGGCACCGTGGCCATCGTCTTCCTCAACAAGTGTGAGGCCTGGGTGTCCAACCTGCGCTACAACCACATGCTCCGCAAGAAGAAGAACCTACTGCTGCAGTACAACAGCGGTGAGGAGCTGGCGGTCAATATCCTCTTCCCCGAGAAGATCGACATGACCACCTTCAACAAGGAGGCTGGGGACGAGGAGATCTAAGCAGCAGCATGCCCCCAGGCCCCTCTATACTCTCGGGGTTCCGCAGAGCTCACTAAATGCGGTCTGTGCTTCTCTTGTGATGCAGTTTGCTCTCTTTCTGTGTGGAATCTAGTGAACGCTATGCTTCCATATATTGTCCTTGTGTCGCTGTGTGCCACGCTGCCATGCTATCTTAAGAACCCCGTTTCTCCCTATTAATGCATGATAACGAATAATAATAAGAATTTCATCTCTAAATGAGTTAAGAATATAAGTATGTTATTCTAAACTCTTATCAGATATCAAATATAAAATATCAAAAAGACCAAAAAAAAACATGGCAACAGAACCAGGCCTTGGTGCTGAGGCCCCTCCCCCAGGGGGGTGTCAGCCACCCAGGCCTCGTGAAACCATAAGATTGCTGTGCTTGACCACTCACTGTGAAAAGGGCTAAACTCTTTCGTTCTTTAATTCTCACACGCCACTTCGACTCACACTCACATCCAGTCTCACACCGCAATGCAACCCTTAGATCTTTGCAATTATTTGTGACTTTGCAGTGTGTAGTGGCTGTGTGTCAGGCAGAGAGAGCCCCCAGGTTGGCTGCTGGCAGAGAGGCGGGGACCTTCGCCCCAGCCCTGCCGCTCACTCGCTGTGTGACCCTTGGCGAGACCCCAATTCCCAACCCTGGGCCACCTCCCCACCCCTCTCTTGAGGGAGGGGTTGCAAACACCCAAACACCAAGGTCCTCTCTAGCTCCCAAATTCAGAATTAGGAACGAGGGATGTATACCAAAACACTTCCTGACTCCAAGAGTAGGATCTGATGGAGACTTGGTCTCATCCTGGGATCCGAAAGGTTTTGGCCTATCCTGGCTGTACACTTGATAGTAAGGTCGATCCCAATAGCATTTTCTCAAAATGGGGAGCCTTCTGGCTCACATCCAGTTTGGGAAAAAATGGCCCCTGTTAGGTCAAAATGAGCCATTTGGAGTTGCCTCTTGAGCAGCCCACCCCCTGCCCCAGCCCTCCCCTGGCCCCATGCCTCCCCCACTCCTGCCCCCACACTCCACCCCATGCCTGCCCCTCAGCCTGTAGACTAGAGATGTGCTTTCAGACTTAAGTGTACCTTGAACCACAAGTGCCCCCTGGCAAAATCTGAGTGAGCAACACAGCCCTCACCGAGGTCTTCACAGGCTTTAGTGGAAGCTGCCGCTTGTGCGGTGTTTTCTAGTCCTGTGACAGAAGTGGGACAAGCACCTGTCCACAGCCATGGATGTACCTTCGTGTGGCTGAGGTTAGGACCCTCAGATCCCAAAAGACCTAGCCAGCTTCTTACTTAGGATTTCGATTTTTTTATTTAAAATATAAAAGAGCCTCTATCTTTTTTTGCAAAACAAAAGAAAAAAGAAAGTAGGAAGAAATGGGGAAGAGCCCTGTGTAGCTTCCCAGCTTTTGTTTGGGGTCTGGCTGCTGCACAGTCCTCGGGTCCCAGTTAGGAATACTTTGCTTCATAGGTTGTTTGGGTAGGAACCTATGCTCTAAGCTTATCTGTGAGCCGTGTTACCTTGCTCTGAGTACTTGCTTACAAGTCATTGTCACCGTTATCACAGCACACACTCACTACTTCATGGTCATCACCCACTGTTCACATGCGCCACCGTTGTCACACATTTTCGACCCTGTCGCCCCTCCAACCTCTACCCCAGGTTCATTTCACCCAAAGCCCTGACTCAAAATATCTCTCCCCAGCCATTGGTCATTCATCATCTTCAGCTCAAGCCCCTCCCAGCTCCACCCTGAAGTCCCTCCCCATTTTGCCCACCCTCATTCCTGATGAGGGTTGCATCCCAACTCCCAGAATCCCCCTCCCACCATCCCTGCTGCCTATCCCCCCTCCTCTTCCCCTGACTCCCTCCCCCCCTCCCTCCCTCCACGTCCCCTGACCTGCCTGTAATCACCCCCGTCCTGAGGCCAACCATCACCACCAGGTCATCATCCCATCTCATTTTGAGTTCGTTTTAAGAAATAAAAATATAAAAAAGATAAAAAAAAATTCTTGGCAAGTGCTAGGCGGGTGTCTGGTACCCCGCCTGGCCTCTCTCAGCCTGAGACCTTGACCAAGTCTGCTAACAGTTCTGTTCCTCAGTTTCCCCAATTTGGAATTCTGCAATTGGACAAAAACAGCTTTTTAATCCACTCCATTTTTTTTTTCTTTTTGGTCTCCATGTTGTGGAGAGCAGCCTTGTGCCCTATGGCAAAGGGTTGTTCTCCTAGCAACTCCTCATCCTGTCCAAAGAATTCATCACCCACCATTCATCCATTCAGGGAACGTTTCCAATCACCTGCAGAGCTTAAGGCAATGAGCTTTCTTGGAGCTGTGGGATGTGCAGGCTGAGGGGCGTAGTCTGGGGAGGGCACAGACGTCCCCAGGAAGTGTCCCCAGGAAGCCAAGCACAGTTCAGGTAAAAACAAGAACAGACCACCGTGGGAGCCAGCCGGAGGATGCTGAGCACCTCCTTCCGAGTGCCACCCACCGTCTCACCTGCCCACGTGACAAAAGATCAAGAAACCTGCGTCGATGAGACCACCCTGCCAAAATTCAACAACATCCACCCGCCACACAAGAGGAGCAGCATCACAGCCTCATCAAGGTCTTCAGAACCCGTCCATCTACGGCCTAATGCTATCTGCTGAGAGAGTCAGATCTCTGACTGCCCATGCCCACCTCGTGTGCGCCTGGTGCAGTGCAGTTTATACAGCGGGTGGAGAAGCTGAAAGACAGCTGTCTGGGACATTTTTACTAATTCGGTACCAAATTAACAGTGGCGATAATTCTGTAACCAAAATGTTAATGAAATGTCCATCATGACGCTCTTTCAAGCCTCCCCCATTTTTGGCAGGCAAGTCCAGACGCAATGCAAAAAAAAAAGAACAACCTTGTTTATTGAAGAAATAAAGGAACAAGGGCTTTACTCGTGTTTACTATTTATTTATTATTCGGCAGTAACACCAGCACCTCCCAGCGATGGCCCTAACCATAGGCCAAGGGTATTGGGGGCTCTGCTTTGGCCCAGCTCCAACCCTTTCAGTGTGGCCTGGTGCCACAGGTTATTGGGGGTGGGGCAGAGAACCTGAGGATTTCTTGACCACAGGGGTCCAGAGAACACCACCGGGGCATGGGGAACCTTGTCTTTATATAGCACCCTAAGTGTGGCTGCCCATGGGAAGTGTGGGAGGATCTGGAACATGAGAAGAACCGAGACATGGACCATGGACCCAAGAGAGTCACACATGAGCAGCCAGCTCTTCCCACATACAAAGTTTGGGCCCGGAACTGGGTGGAACCCTCCGTGGACTCTCCAGGGTTATTAGAGGGTGGTTGCTAAGGTGAGAGAGAACATAGGCGGAGGGTTACCCAGCGGGGGCAACTTGGCCCATGTTATGTGTGTAGGCTCCTTTCACACTCCTAACTCAGTCTCTGTATGTAGTACCAGATGCAGTGTGTAGCAGGTAGCAGGCAGCGCCTGCTTCTCCTCTAACCCCAGGACACCAGGAGCCATGCATCAAATCAGTGTGTGTGCCCCTCCAAATGCCCCACTCTGGAGCTCCACCTGACACCTGTGGCCTTGGGAGCCTCGTTCCTGCTGGCCCAGCAAGTGATCCTTGTTCTGATAACCACCCCAGGCTTTTCCATGACTGCCCTTCCTGCCCAGCTGCCCAGGCCCAGAACCTGCTATCTCTGGGGGATCACCTACCCCACTGTCCACTCTCCTAACTCCTCTTACTTTTTTTTTTCGGCTTCATTCTCTGCACCTTAGAGGCCAAGGACCATCTTCTTCTAGCTTGTCTTGTGTTTCTGCCATGGCCCATCTCCCTCCGAGCACAAATGAAGCAGAGTACACAGGGGGGGACTGGAGGGGACATAAGATCTTATACATGGACTCTGTTCTAAAAGCTACAGGGAGATACCATGGCCATGTGGAGTTAGGAAACATAAAAGCATCAACATGGGGAATAAATTTTCTATTAAAATATTAACCCACCAAATTCTTCAACAAAGTCAGTGAATGAGGTTACCTAACCCAGGAATTCCAGCACCCAACAGTTTGAAGGAATGAGAAACGTCTAGGTGATGAGCACTGGTCTAGAGAATGGGTGGTGAAGAAGCAGATCCACGATCAAAAGCATTTCCTGAAAAATCAATTCTATCCAAATGTTAGATGGAAGCCTCATTGGCCTGAGAGGCCCTAGGGTTTGGGATGCCCAGGGGCTAGGAGGGAGCTCTGGATTAGGAGGAATGTGAGATGAACCCTGAGTGGTAGAGTCAACAGTGGGAACATCTCCCATGGCTAGTTAGGCTCTGGAGGCCTTTGGGCTAGAGGCTGGACCCTGCTGGACCCCTGGGCTAGGGGGTGGAGCTTTTAAGAAGTGAGGCCAAGTGGGAGGCAGGTCTTTGGGTCATTGAGGTTGTACCCTTGAGAGAGATTTTGGCCCTCCACCTCTTTCTTTTATTCTCTGTTTTGCTTTCTACCTATGAAATAGGCGGTTTTGCTTTGCAAAGAGCTTCCTCCAGGATGTACTACCACAAGCCCAAAGCGTCAGAGCCAGCTACCTTCTAAAACATGGGAAGCCAAAAGTAAACCTTGCTCTTCATGATTTCATTATCCCAGGTGCTTGTTCTAGCTATGTAGAGCCTCATCACACCTGGGCAGGTGGATAGACATTGCATAAAGGGAGTCAAAAGAATGGTGAGAATTGTGGGAGTATCCCTTGTGGTCAGGAGCCAGTCCAGGTCCCCAGCCCAGAGCTGCTTGCTGGACCGTTTGGATTAGGAGCTGCGCTCCATTCCTGGGATGCCTATAAAGCCAAAGCATGGTGCTATGCTTGGTTTGTTCACTGTCTTACACCACTGAGGAAAGTTTCTGTCACACCAGCAAAGACCCACATCAGCACAGGCCCATGTCAGCTGTGGAGGAGGACGCTTGCCCAGCTCACAGAGGGTGTTTCGGCTCTGCATTTTGCTTCACCATGCACTTGGCAAAAATGAAAACATACAAGGTAACTAAACAGTAACCCAGGAATTTGTGAAAAGGAGAAAAAAAAAGGTCTCAATGAGCTAGAAACAAGTAGAAAGTACACAGCCCCTTAATGTCATAAACAGATTCTCTGAAATTAATATTCGTCATCTCACTGATCAGTATGACCTGTGGGATGTAAAGCTAGGGCTCCACAGTGGATGATGGATCCGGATTTGGATGTGACTCTGTGGTTTGGGTCACTTCATGCTGCCTCCTCTTGTGTGAAAGAACACAGTAAGGTCCTCAGTGTACCGCTGTTCCAGTAGCTCTAGCTGTCACGACAAGACAAGAAAATGCAATCCAGAATCTATGTGGTTCCCAGACACACATGCAGGCAAAACATCCATGCACATACAGTAAAACCAATATATCCGAAAGGAAAAGAAAGCAGGACTTGTGCCTATTTAATAGCAGTCTTCCCCAAGCCCCAAACCTTCAAAGACAGCTGGAAGAAACAAGCCAGGAGAGGGCTGGGCAGGCTTACGTGGTGGAAAGCTTTCCCAGCATGAACCAAGTCCTGGGGGTCACCCCAAGCCTGTATAAACTGGGTGTGATGTGCACCTGTAATCCCAGCACTGGGAAGGAGAATCAAGAGTTCAAGTTCAGTGAGTTGAGGCCTGCCTGGGTTACATGAGACCCTGTCTCAGAACAACAGCAACAAAAACAAGGGCTGACAAGACCGCTCAGCAGATAAAGGCACTTGTCACCAGGTCTGATGACCCAAATTTGATGCCCAGGACCCACCTGGGAATGGCCATGGGACAGAACCAACACATACAAGTTATCTTCTGATCTCCACATGCTTCCTCTTCCTAAATTAAAAAATAACAATAATCATATAAAAAGAAAACAAACAAAAAGCAAAGCAACAACAAAGCTAAAAATTAACAGACAAACCACCACCAATAAAAACAACAACCACAACAATAAAACAACATCAACCTAGGACTGGCTCAAGAAGTCAGTATATTGGGAAATATATCCTTTGATAAAACCAATGACACCAGGCCTCCCAGCCCTTGGGAGGCAAAGGAAAGCTGATCTCTGTGAGTTCAAGGCCAGTCTGATCTACAGAGTAAGTTCCAGCACAGGCAGGGCTACACAGAAAAACTCTGTCTTGAAAAACAAAACAAAACAAAAAACCCACCAGCAACAACAACAACAACAAAACCCTCAAAGATTTGAGTATTTTAATTTTTAATCTAAAATTTAAATTTCTACTCCTGTAGAAAGTTTCTAATTAACCCCTGGATTAATTTACGCATTTAATTCTATTGATTTATATTAAGACCACTTAATAATATCACTCTGAATTTTAGCTGAGAAGACGATGAGGACAAGTATGAAGAAAAATAACTTTCAAATAAAACAAAAAGGTCAGGAGGAAAAGTGTGTAGACAGATGTGGTGGTGTAGCCCTTTAAGCCTGGGGAAACAGGAGGCCGATATCTATGAGTCTGAGACCAGCTGGGTCTACATACTGAGTTCCAGGTCAGGCTGGGCAACATAGTAAAATCCTGTCTCAAAAAAGAAAAAGAAAGAAAGAAAGAAAGAAAGAAAGAAAGAAAGAAAGAAAGAAAGAAAGAAAGAAAGAAAGAAAACAAAATATCCAGAATATCATGGTTCGGGTCTAGCAGGTGTTTTTCTGCATCAGGCGGAATGCAAGACTGAAGCATGAAGTTTTAAAGAAATATCAGTCCCTCAGGCCCATGTGCTTAATCATAAATATGGAGAGGCTGATGGCTAGTTAACGCCTCTTAACCAAGAAGATGATTAGCAATGTTTGGTGATATTCTTCATTGTCAAGGCTGGACAGGTGGTACCTACTGGGTTGGTGAATAGTCCAAAAGGCATGGGTCAGCAGAAAAGATCCTGTCTCCAATGTTTATAACATGTGGAAGACCCCGGAGTGAGGCCATGGGTCAGGCCAGCACTTTTTAAAATGGCACACCTGAAGCCTTTAATGCCAGCACTTAAGGAGGCAGAGGCAGGCAGAGCTCAAGGCTAGTCTGGTTTACAGAGTGAGTTCCAGGACAGCTAAGGCTACACAGAGAAACCCTGTCTTGAAAAACCAGAAAGAGAGAGAGAATGCCACACCCTCACGTAAAGTGTAATGTTATTCGGTTAGCAACCTATGGCTTCCAGTGTTATAGATGATGAAACTGGGACTCAAAGATGGAAGCACCCACCTGGTTAGGCAATATGGTAGCACGTGGCTCCCACCGATGTACCCATGTGTCCTTGATTATCCATTACGGAGGTTTGGTTTTGCCTCCTGATTTTCTTAGTTTTTCATTGCTACGTTAAGAAACAGTTTTCAGGCTGTTTCCCTCCCAACAGGTCATTGATAAACAGAGTTCAGTGAAGTTCCATCTTGGTCAACTCATGGTATGTATGCTCTGCCCCCTGAATAACCCCTTGTGGAGCAACCCATTGCTCCTCTCATGCCCCTTCCCCTAGCAACTGCCCAGTGCAGTCAAGACGTCACTTTGCCAAGCTTCAGTTATCAATGAGATTGTCTCCTAAAGGTCCCAGTGGTTCCCCGACTGCACCTGGGCTTATCTTCTCAACCCAGAACTTCACCATCAGAATTTTGAGTTCAGTATCTGCAGAACACAGGCCTCATGGGGTGAGATTCCCGCAGAAGTTGTCTGTGTCCATGAGGATTGTATAGCAGAAGCAAGAATGTGCTGCTGGAGATTTGTGCCTTTTACAAACGGGATGGATGAGGTTTGTCCTCCCTAACAGTCCTGTGTTGGCAGCTTTGTTCTTAATGTGGCATTGCAGAGCTGGTGATGACTCGAATAGTTCCCTCTCTTGGTGCTGTGGCGCCTCCCACCATTTTGTAAAGTGATCACAGCTGAACAGATGGGACCCCAGGAGCTCCACCTAAAA